TAAGGACCATTCTTTACTTTTATGTTGGGGGGAGGCAGAACTCTCTTTTTTATTTACTTTTTTCCCTTTCTATGTTCATATTCCACACATTATCCACACACACAAGAACACATCATAAGTGTATGTTGGGCAGAGATATTGCCTTGCATATTCTTGCAGGTTTTTGAATAGCATCCTTGTAACTCATATAAAGGTAAGTAAATCCTCTTTGAAGCCTGAACAAATCTTTCTGCTTATGACAGTTTTTTGATTGACTCCATCTAAGTAGTTTATACTGCAGTGATGGAACCTCAGATGAAATCTTACAACACATGACCTGGTGTCTCGTTTTACTCACTTGAAGATGAATGAATTCAGAAACTCAGTTCTCACAGCTCTTGTAGCTAAGCTGCAGCCAATTTGCATTTTGTTTTCAGAAATAAACCTAGTTATTGAACACTTACAGGTAAACTTACTGATAAGTTGTTAAATAATATTTAGATGAGGTTTTTAGTTATAATTTTTAAACACTGAGGGAACACCAGCTGCTCTAAATTGTTGTCCATTGTTGTAGCACATAGTAGACATACCAGGTATGTGTTAACAACATTTACTCACATGAAATGTTTAAATAGTTATAATTTTCCCCCTCTGTATTTTGCTCCTTAGGCCCTGTATCTATTTTATAGTGAAGTCCCTTAAAGTACATATTTTGACTTACTTGCATTTTTCTAAAAAACCCCTTTTTTTTTTTTGTCAGAAACAGGAGTATTTTAAATACAACTAAAATTAGGAGAGAAAGACATAAATGGAACTATAAGGGCTTATTTTACATGTCACATTTTTATGACACTTTCTATTCAGTACAATTACAGGTGTCTGTAGAAACATCTCACTTAAAATGTCCTTACTGCTGATGCATTTGACTTTTTTCCCAGGAGACAGGAATACAGGTTTTGAGGCAGAGAGCTTAAAGGGTGTTTTAAGAGGAGTTGCTCTAAAGTTTTACCACACTGAAGGTTTTGCAGTTCTAACCAATTTCAGTAGAAAATGGATTCCTGTAGCTGAAGAGTTAAATTAGTTCCAAAATACAAGTAAATACCAGTAACAAATAGAGAACAGCCTAGTTTTTGTTACAAAGAACTCTCATATCAAATGCAAAGAAGAACTTCAGATTGCTTTTATTAAGGTAAGTTGTACTGATCTGTGGGGATTCTGTGCCATTCCTAACTGCCCAGGTAAATTGTTTGTGCATTTGTGAAAAAGTGTCCTGTTTTTGATGGATGAGTGTGATCTGTAATCTCCCTGAGAAGCTGCCTTGCACCATCTGCAAGAGCATTCCACCAGATTTTACTGATTTAACATTTTTGTGCTGTTTGAAACCTACAGGTTATAATGTTAGGGAAATCCATGAGAGTCCTCTCACTTCAGGTATCTAAAAGTGAGAAAGAACTCTTCAGTCTGAGCTAGTCTGTCAAGAAAAAAACATGTTTATTGGACCAAACATATGATCTATTTTAGACACAAATCTTAGAGGTCCACGTTACAATGGAAATCCTCAGTTTGTCATGTGAGCGAGTGTTAGTGATCACCATTCACGTCATATCAGAGGAGATGGACAAAGCAAAACACTCCTTTTTCTAGGAAGATCCTTGAGGTATTTGTGAGGAACCATCTGCAGGCATTCTGCAACCTGTTGATTTTGCTAGCAGACTGACATCTTAAAATAATAGGAAGTGTTACCGGAGAAGGAGAAGCTTAAAGCATAATACAAACACCTTATTTCACAAAGGAGCCATAAAAGTAGTTTGTGTCCACTGTGTGTTGGACTCTGCTGAGAGCTTTTATGTCATGTGTTGCATTTATTACAAAATCTTTGTTGCACTCACTGCTGCCCAGTGGAAAGGCAGTAAAGGAACACTTCAGATATTTGCTGGTGCAGGTGTCAGTGGCATCAGTGTATGTGTCTGCAGCACCTGAACTCAGGTTGTCACTTTGACAGAGCAGCAATTGGAAGAGACTTTTTGTCCTGTATTCTTGCTGTTAATGGTCAAACAGAAGTCAGCAGCAAATGTATCCAGAGTTTTGAAATAGGAAATTAATCCAAAAGGAGGGGAAGGAGGGTAAATATTAGCAATAACTCAGTTATTAAACTACCCAGTCATATGTATGGCAAGTACTCATCAGTGCTTCAAAGCTTTTTTGAAGTTCACCTGACTTACTAGGCTTAAAAGAAATACATGAACTGATAAATTGCTCAATTCAGGTTCTAAATCTGCTTAAACATCTTAACTGCTTTGATTGAGAAAAGCAACTCAGCAGGTAGGAGAGTGAGAAGAGTTTATTAGATGGAAAACAAAACACAACCTAAATATTAAATATGCTTCTTACTATTGTTCTTACGGTAGAACTTCAGACTAAAGAGCACTTGTCACACCAAACCTCTAAATTTCTGCAGGCAGATCAATAGTGTGATTTCATAGTGATCTGTTACAATACCTTGTCGGGGGCCAAGTGCTTCACAGAAGTCATTAATGAGTGGGACTTGGAAGGGGAAGTGTTTCCTTCAGAGAAAACGACAGCGTTTGTGGTTCTGCTCCTGCTTTCCAGCAGGGAATTACGGAGAGACAACGCTGCCACCTCCTGGAAGTGGGAGCCCTGGCTCCGGTGATACAGATTTCCTTTTCTTAACCCTTTTCACTCTTGTTCATTTCTTCTGCAGCTGAACTCTTCTTCACCCAGGAGCTATTCACAAGGTGAATAGAGTTTGCTTCTATAGTTAAAGATCTCAGATGCAAAGGGTGCTTGGACCGTTTGTTCCTATACACCTCTAACCAAGTATGGAGACTGTCTAAAAGGAATGCAGTGATACTGGGAGCCTCCTGGCAGAAAATGTGATGTGCCTGTCAGGATGCCAGGGTTGTAGTGTGCACAGTTTGTATGCTTGTGTCTTTCTGCTTTCTGTAGTAAGAGCACAAAGGCAGGAAAGAAAGACAATACACCACTCTAAAGTGAGGAGGGGGAACATAGAATACACTGAAGACAGGAGTTACAGCTCAGGAGGTAAAAGTGATGTAGGGAGCTGTTAATACTGTTGTGAAGAGAAAAAGTGAGGCCTTGCCTGCACACAGGCTGGTCCCAATTTAATGCTGCTCTTCAGGCAAGATTGTGCCAGCTGAAGTTGTGACTCAGTTGAGTGCAGAGGATGTGGATATACTGCTGTTGATTTAGCTTAACTGTTAAAATATATTTTACTGAAACTTTGCTGCTTAAGCTGTACATACACTTGTCTGCAGGGACTGATTGTAGCTAAGCTGGATGCCTCTGGGGTGAGTGCTTCCCCCCAGGAAAAACTAGCCTGTGCCAAGTTCTATACTGCTACAGCTGAACTAGCTCTAGCATCTGAATTAACTCCTAGAAAGCCAAAGTGTCTTTGCTTAATGCTATGCTCTGCAATGTAGGCCCTTGCTGAGAGGCACTCATGATTGAGTAGTACAGGGAAATAAAAAAGAATCCTTTTGTTACTGGCCATTTTGTGGGACATGTGGCTGCTGTGTGTGTGGGTCTGGCCTAAACATTTGTAAATAGAGGAGTTTTCGGAAAGGTTGCTGACAGACAATCAGCATACCTGAGATGAGTCTGCCAGAACTTCTGAGAAATTCATGCTGGAGATCTTCTGGCTTTGGAAGTATTAAGTACAGGAGTGGCTGGTGTAACACTGCAGCTTCAGTGCTGAACTCCCATCGTGAGACTGGCCCAGGGGCTGTGCTGGCCCAGGGGCTGGCACAAGACCTGAGCCCTGCCTGTGCAGTGAGGCAGACTGAATCCAACATCCCCTGGGACCCAGCCAGTTAAAAGGAGCAGTGGGATCCTTGGGGAGCCACTATCGTCTCCTGCCTGTGACCTACTGGAGCTCCCCTTCTCTGCTCTACAAGGTATGTTACACCTGCCCTGTGGCTGTTTAGCCATGTGAAGATTTTGCCCCATCTCTTAAGTTAGGAAGGCTGGTGCCTGCCCCTGGCATGCAGCTGTTTTGCCTCTCAAGCACCCAACACCCCTCAGGCACTGGGAGGCAGCAGGGCAGAACTCCTGCCATCAGGGGTGCTTGGCCTCAGTGTGAGGAACCATTGCTGAGGGGAAGGGTTGGGGGGCAGAAACCTGCTACCAGTTACAGAGGCACTTAGCACATGAGGGTGGTTTATCTTGTCATCAACACTGAAAGTGATGAAAGTTTGATTAAAAGTACTCACCACCCTCTTGCTGTTTTGCTTTCTTTTACTAATTTTACTGTAGTTCATTGAACTTGCTCACTTGACTGCATAGTCAGTAGAAAAGATCTTTGCTAGTCCCCAAATAAAAGGGTTTTTTTGAGGCGATCACATGCACTTTGAGTCAAGTTCGCTGCTGATATGCTGTGTCTGATCTGTGCTGAACTTGGAACCTGAAGATGGCCT